AAAAAAAAAAAAAGACACCCCCTGAAAATAAGACCTAGTGTGTTTTTGTGGGGCAAAAAAAATATAAGACAGTGTCTTATTTTCGGGGAAACACGGGTATGAGACGAGGCTTCTGACCTTAAACATGTTTACGCTGGAATTAGGGAGATTAAGGGGGGGTATGATTTTCATGTACAAGATGCTCAATGGTGACAGCAACATTGGCAACAAACTGTTTGAGATTAACTCCATTACAAAGACCAGAGGCCACCACCTAAAATTGGTGGGAAAAAATTCCAGCACAAGGGGCGAAGAGGGTTCTTTACAGTAAGAGCGGTTAAGGTCTGGAACTCACTGCCATCGGCCGTCATCTCAGCCAAGAGTGTAGATTTGTTCAAGAAACGTTTGGACAATTTCTTGAGGGACCGTAATATCCAGGGATACCAGTATCCCTAAGCATGAGATGATGCGTGGACCCATATGGGTTGGACTTGATGGACGTATGTCTTTATTCAACCCCAAATACTATGTAACTATGTTCTAGAGGCCGAGCACACTGGAACGCACTCTTGATGACGTGACAGGTCCCTCAGGGAGGGCCATGAGAAGAAAGGCCTGTCCCCAGCCAGGATGCTGCAGAGAAGGAGTATTGCTCTCTGTGTGGAAGCAGTGATCTCTCTGCAGAGCACCAATGCAATCAGTGTCAAGTCAGACCTATAGCTCTGCCATCAGCAGAATGCATGTTTCTTAATTGGATTTCTTTAGCTCTGAATAGGCAGAGGGACATCTCCAATCAAGAATAGACATGTGCGATTCGTTTCGTTACGAATCGAAATTCGTACGAATTTTCCTGAAATTCGTAAATTCGGAAGCATCCGAAATCCGAATGGCAGTTTCCGAATTATATCCGAAATACGAAATTCCGTTAACGAATTTCGGATCCGAATTTCTTTGAAACAGGAACTAATATTACCCCTGTAAATGAGGTTGAACAACATGACAAGATTTTTTTTTAAATCCGAAATACGGATCCGCTGCTGCTGAGGGTTGCATTACAATACACAGGCAGGAAATACGAAATTCCGTTGACGGAATTTCGTTCCGTTACGAACATTCGTTATATTGAAGTTAAAAAGCAAAGATACCTTTGTTAATATATTGGAGTTGATGGTAGTTTTTGTTTTATCCGAAATTCGGATACGGAATCCGTTAACGGAATTCGTATTTTGGATAAAAAAACAACTACCACATCGACTCCGATATTAACAAAGGTATTTTTGCTTTTTAACTTCATCATAACGAATGTTCGTAAAGTTACGAAAATGTGACGAAACTAACGAAAATCCGTATTCCGTACGAATCCGAATTGAGTTTCGGACACGAATTACGAAATACGAAATAACGGATATTCCGAAACGGAACAAAACAAATTTTTTGACAGCGCACAAGTCTAATCAAGAAGCATGCATTTTACCGATTGCAGAGCTCTAGGGATGACTCAGCAAGGGGCAGGTCTGACCCCTCCATAGAGACCACTGCTTACACACAGAGAACAACGGTCCTTCCCTGCAGCATCCTGGCAGGGGACAGGCCTTTCTACTCTGTCACACCGCCTTTTATATCTATGCAACCAGAAAAGCTCATGTCTGACCTCTGCACAGAAACCACTGCTTCCCCACAGAAAGCAATGGCTCTTCTCTGCAGCATCCTGGCAGGGGGCCAGGCTTTTCTACTCGGCCTGTAGGACACATCTGACCTCTGCAGAGAGACCACTGCTTCCGCACCGAGAAAAAAAAAAGCTCCTTTTTCAGCACGCTGGCAGGCGTTGGGCTTTTCTACTCAGGTTGTGGCTGCTGTAAGACTTTGCACGCACTTTGTTCTGATGCACCTGGAATGGATTTATCTGAGCTGGAAGTTCAATCGGGCTTTAGGATTTTTTTAACATGGTCTGTAGAAAAAAAACACGCGTCTGTTCCGCCAGCCGGATTCTTATCAAACGTCATCATTTTGCAGCAAAAAGTTTAAAATGACAAAATATAAAAGAGGTGAAGGGCCGAAGTCCGCTCCTGTGGAATATAAAATGGCGCTTTGGACAGCGACGTGTCATTTCAGGACCGGAGAGGTGACAAGCTGAGAGAAGACCGGTGGACGCATCGCGAGGACGCGGAGGGAGAATCCCATTGGCCGCAGGGATCCGGCTTGTCGCGGGAACTCAGTAGAACACACCGGCCGCCTCGGTGCGGAATGAAAATACTTTTTCCTTTAATCACGTTGGCTGCTTAAGTCCTGTAAACATTCAGTCATAAATAATACCGAGCCGCCTCACACCAGGGACCCCGCCTGACTCTGAGCCGGCACCATCACCGGCACGGCCCCCATGCGCACCAGATTGGACGGAGTCACCCCAGACGGAATGTTTAAATCCTTCCTGGGCGCTGGCTGTTCCACGCCGTTTGCCTTCTGGGCGGAGCTTCTGTTTGTCGACACGGCGGTAGTGTAGTAGTTGCCGTTCACCGGCGCCATGTACGCCGGCAGAGACTGGCTGGACATGCTGGGGGTCGGCGTCGTGACTCGCCCTCTGTCGCTGATATAGGGGGGTCTGTAGCCGGCGGTGCTGCCTATGGCGGTATTTATGGACGTGGTGTCGGAGGGGGATTTGGGGGGGTAAGGCTTGCGGCTCCGGTTGCTGTTCACGGAGGACAGGGTGCCGTTTTTGTAAGTAAGATCTGACCCGTTTGCCTTGGCCCAGGTGAGCGTTTTCGGGGCCGCCGCGTCCTCCCTGTGGGCAGAGCGGAGGCATTAAAATGAGCAAATTCATTACACCCGATAGGATGAGTTAAAAAGAAACATTGTTTGTATTGTGGGAGCAGAACATAGAAAAATAACATAACCCATTGACGTCACCATTTAAAGCAGCTTCAATCCTGAACTGTCCCCCCGCATTATTCTTTCCCACCAGTAGGTGTCCTCAGTCTTCTGGGATGAATGACCGACAACATCATCCAAACAAAATTGCAATTTACGGATTCCAAAATTGTGTCCGCAACTGTCCAGTGCCTACCAACCAGTAAGAGAGATTTCTGGGGAGCTAATGTAATTAGGTAACGTTTGGACAATTTCTTGAGGGACCGTAATATTCAGGGATACCAGTATCCCTAAGAATGAGATGATGCGTGGACCTATATGGGTTGGACTTGATGGACGTATGTCTTTATTCAACCCCAAATACTATGTAATGTAATGTAATGTAACGGATGTATTGGGGGGGTGTTTTGTGCTTGGTGAGATAAATCATTGTCAAAGTTTAAATGAGAACTATGGGGTTAAGGCTTTTCCCCATAGTTCCCCTTAGGGTAACAGGAGGACACAAACTGGCTTCCTCCTGTCACCCTAGGCTCAGTATATAGGGAGCTGCTGCTCGCGGTATACTGAGATGCCGCAGCTGAATCGGATCCCGACAATTATGTCTGGATCCGCCCAGCTGCGTGACTGACAGCTGGCTTTGCCTATCTAGAGGCAGAGCCAGCTGTACCCGACCCCTCTCCCATCCGTTCCGCCGGTCAGCGCTGGATGATCGGAGCGGGGAGGGGGGAATCCAGCCCCTCCCCCTGTCACGGCAGAGAGCCGTGACAGGATCGAGAGGTGAGCAAACGCCGGTATGTGTTCCCTCACCTCCCGATCTACTGAGCCGACCTGTGACAGTCTCATTGTCACAGGTCGGCTAGAACTATGAGGTGAGTGAAAAGCACCCCCCCTCCCCCTCATAGTTCTCCTTTAAATGTCCTGTATTGTACTAAGCACAGTAATAGAAGATCAATACCATTTCTTCGAGCTGCCCGTGGGACAATGTGCGTATCACGTAGGAGGACTTTTTTTTAGATGTGAGGCTGCGTTGTTGGTGGAAAGCCACTAGTTTATGTATCATCACTTTGTGCAGTGTTTATACTACCCTGTTTCCCCAAAAATAAGACCTACCCCGAAATTAAGACCTAGTTGTGACCATTCCCAGGGCCGGTGGTGGCATAAGTGGAAGCTTGAAGAGCCACGGGAGAGAATCAGCGGTGCCAGCGAAGCCAGCACTAGAGGAAGCGAGGCGGCAGCGGAGGGAGCAGAGCCGCATAAGCCGATGCCTCCTCTATAGCGCCGGCTCCTGTCACAGGCGGAGTGATACCAAATGAACTCCGCCTGTGAGGAATCCATAGTGAAAGCGCGATTCGCTCATTCTGGCCAATGATTGGTTAGCAAATTGCTCTTGGAAAGGTACGGCACCCCTGATTGCCCTGATCACCCTATTCTTAACTTTGTCATTTTGGATTATTTAATTTGGATTTGCGTTAACTTTGGATTGTTGTACATTAAAAAAAAAAAAAAAAAAAACCCCCCCCGACTGATTGCCCTGATCACCCTATTCTTAACTTTGTCATTTTGGATTATTTAATTTGGATTTGCGTTAACTTTGGATTGTTGTACATTAAAAAAAAAAAAAAAATAAGACCTCCCCCGAAAATAAGACCTAGTGTGTTTTTTTGAGCCACAAAAAATATAAGACAGTGTCTTATTTCCGGGGAAACACGGTAGATACAGTATGTTACTGATGTTAGCTGGAGGTGTATCTAATATGACATTATGAGGAACTAAGATACACAAATGCTCAAATTTGGATAGTTGGGGTATATTGTTGGCTGGTTGGTGGGTTGCCTGACGTTCTCCCCTTTGATGGTCTCCTGGGGTCCCCCCTCATCCGGAGAGTAGTGATTGGCTGCACACAGGCGGCATTAATGTTTTTAATACAACACCTGGACCACTGCGAAACTAGATATACACTCCCCTCTCTATACTCTCCTGATGCAGTGGACTTTTGGTCCATGAAATGTGACGGGAGTCATACCCGGGATGTCTTGCTTGTGACCCAAAGACGTATATTTGTTGTAGCAATGCAAGATTGTTGGGTGTAAATGGGATTATATAGGTGGTGAGGCGCGAGGTGGAGGTACGGATAGTTACCCGATGCTTAGAGATATTCCTTTTTATCACATTGTGAATATAAGTATATTGATAACATTGGATACTTTTGTCTGTATAAAGGTTGTAGGATATTTTTGTAACATAAAAGTCCCACGTAGTTTTGTATTCCTTTGTTGTCTAACATCATT